AGCGGCTCGGCACCCCGGGAGGGGACCCCTCTGCGCCCTCGCAGCGGGCCCGGCACCCGTCGGCTCACCGGAGGGGACCTAGCAGCCCCTGCCCCGGGGACGGGCGGGATGGAGCTGGACGGGCTGCTGCTGGACGAGGAGGGCACCTTCTCCCTCAGCGGCTTCCAGGAGTTCACGGTGAGTGCCCCTCGGCGTACCCCTGCTGGTGCCCGGTGTTCCCGGCCCAACCCGTCCCCAGCCCCGCACCTCCGCAGGCCCCTGGGGCGTTCCCTCCTTAAACCCGGGCCCCGGAGAGCCCCGTGTGACCGCACACCCGGGCCCCTGGTTGAGCTCCTGGGGGCCCTGCCCGGCCCGTCGTGCCCCTAAGCTGGGTTGAGGTGGAGAGCCTGCTATGGGGAGCGCTCAGGGCTTTTCTCACATTCCCCCTGTCTGCCTGTAGTTCCTGCCCAGGCACCAGCAGCTGAGCGAGAGGGTGCGGAAGCGGCTCTATTATGGCTGGGACAAAGACTGCAGCCTGGATAATCTCTCCAGTCCCGTGGCAGGTGGGTTGCTGAGTGTCCCCAGATGGGAATGCTGAGTCAAGGGGGTTGGAAGTAGCCCAGGGGCTGAGACCAACAAGTCACCCGCTCCCTCCCCAGCGCCAAATCCCACCCCTGCCCAGCCTTCCTCGCTGTGTGCAGCACAGCGGGCAGGATGCCAGAGCCTCATGGCTCCTGCTCTCTCTGTTTTATTGCCGTGTCTGGCCCACTGCTGCATTTTTGGCACCTTGCTGGTGTGCAGATTCCTTTAGGTTGCTTGTGAATTCCTTGGCAGTGAAGGCTGTGTCCCTGTCCCTGATGAGAGGTATCTTGGACAACTTCTTGTGCTCTGCAAGGTACTGGGGAGTTTGTTTGACTTCTAGTTGTGAGCAGCAAGGGGACAAGTTCCTGCTGCGTATTTGTCGGGATCAAATCTCTCTTCTCCCATTGATTCAGCAGTGTTTTGGGGGAGCAGAAGGACACAGCTGGGTTGAGACTGAGGAGCTGGTGCAGGTGATGGCGGAGAGGAGTGGTCAAGGGCAAGCAGTGGTTTGCTGGAGGGCCTTCACAGTGGACTCGCATTAGTGGTTCCCTTACCTGCCTGCTCACAGAGCTTGCAGGGGGCATTGAGCGGGTGGGGAAGCGTGCTTGCATTCAAAACTCTGGTGGTAGTTTTGGGGAAACAGTCTGAAGTCGCCGAGAGGCTGTGTGTGATGTACCTCTGCGAGAAGGGGGATGCTGGGGGTGTGGTGATGAAGCAGGGCCAGGCAGGGTAGCCAAGCTGCCTGGGTGCTGCTGGGAGTCACGAGTTCTGACGTGGGTGGTGCGAGGGAGGCACGTGGCTCCCCTTTGGGGCTGGCGTCACACCCGGGTGCGAGATGGGACTGTTCCACAGGACGCTACCAGTGTTGAAAGTTCAAAGGGCACATTCATGGAAGAAGACTCTGTTGAGGGCTATTAACTATAAAGACTGCCTCATACCCAGGAAATGCCTCGGCTCCAGCAGCTGGGGGCAGGAGTGACGCGCAGAGAATATCACTGCGAGCTTATCTGCTCTTACAGCCTTCCTTTGCCAGCTGCTATCAGCCGCTGTCAAAAAACGGGACCTAGGGCTATGGCATCTGTCTTGGTACAGCTGTGCCATTGCTACATGGTGAGTTTATGGCGCTGCTCTTCAGATGAGATAGAGGCAATTGTGGAGAGAGTCCAGAGTAGCAGGAGGAACTGGAAGGGGTCTTTGGCACTGGGGGGCAGGCGCAGGAGGCAGTGTGGGGCTGGCTGAGGAGAAAGAGGTTGAAAAGTGAGTTTGTTCCTTCTGGAAAGGAAGAGCCAAAACCACCCTCAGCATGCTGTGGCTGCAACACAGGGACAGCGATCAGCTGCTCTCCGTGTCCTCTAGGGCAGGACACGTTGTCATGGGTCGGATTTGTGAGCTGAAGGATTAGGTTTGGTGTCAGGACAAGGCCTTGGGGGATCTCATGTACTTTCTATCCCTCAGAGCCCTGCTGCTGTCTCTGTGTTGGCCAGTGTGTGTCCCCCTGCTCAGCACAAGGGTGGCCAAGCAGGGCAGAGAGAGCAGCAGCAGTGTGAGAAGCTGGGAGCTGCTGATGGGGTGGCTGGAGCTGTGTCTGCCTGGCTGTGGATCCCAGCAGTGGTGTGGCTTGAATGACCTGGGGAGGTCCCAGTGTGTTTCTGAGCTTGGTGGCTGCTCTCAGGCAAATAATTCCTGTGGGACTGCAGCCGTTCTCTTAGTTGCTGGAAAGACATGGAAAGGAGGGATGTGGACAGAAGAGGTTGTGTGGTGGTGCTTCCTCTGGGAGCTGGAAATGCGAGGCTGCTGGGATGAGCTCTGCTCTCGACTCTGTCAGCCAAGGGCTCGGCAGCAAAAGGGAGCTGGAGTTGCCTGGCAGACGCTTCTTGCCAAGCACCAGACTGTAGTGCTGTTTGGGATGCTCTCAGCTGGTCCTGTCACGTTGAGAAGTGAGACGGGAGCTGCTGAAGCCATCTGCCACCATCCGTCAGTTTCTGGCCTTTTCAGTGCTTGAATGCTGAGGCACGTCGGCGGGTGGGTGGGGAAACAGGCTGAGGTGAGGAGCTGCAGTTATACCATATTGCTGCTTCCATGCCCTGTTAGTGCCTTCAGGCTCCTGTTTGCATGAATATGTTGTCCACCATCATCTCGGGGGCACTAGGGCTGTGGTGGGGAGGAAGCTGGGTCAGTGCTGACCAGCTCTGGAGGAGGAGGATGCTAGTTGGAGGGGAGCAAAGGACTGGGAAGACCTGGAGTTGGCATCAAGTCCTAGAAAGCCTCCGAAAGGGCTGCCTGAGGTCTTGTGGGGTGAGGGGAGGGTGTTAGCCCCTCTGTGCAGCTGACTGCTGGTAACTCCCCGTGACGCAGACATGCTAATCTGGATCTGGCACTGCCGCTGGGCCTTGGATGCTCACATCCTCTTCCTGCTTTGGTCTGGCTGTCCTGCCTATTTGTTTGTTCCTCCCTCATCCCTGACTTTTGATAAGGCCTGTCCTACCTTCATAGTTTAATTTAAACTTGAGGGGCTGAGCAAGCATCAAGACTCAATGGGCTTGTGGGGGGAAAAAGGGAAGGCGGGGGGTGGACTGTGCCGTATAGGGCTAACCCCTTCTGCTGCTTTTCTGTCCTAGATATTGCTGTGGAGTTGCTGCAGAAAGTGGCTCCCAGCCCTATCCGCAGACTCCAGAAGAAATACGTGTCTCATGTATCTCGGTAAGAAGCAAAACCTGTCCCTTCATGTCCCGTGTCAGAACTGGGAGCTCTGGTCTCGCCTATGACTCGCTGCTGTCCCCTGGGCCAGCACTGGCTTTGTGCTTAGGCCTGATTAGTGTCAAAGAGGAGCTGGGGGTGGGTGGCAAGGCCAGCAGGCGCAGTGGCTTCCTGACACAGCGAGGCCCACTTCAGGTTGGTCCTGCTCTCTGGGGTGCAGGGGTGCTCTTGCTACTGGGAGTCTGTACTGGCTGGATCTGCAGCTCACTGGGCAAGCCAGGTCAGAACCCTGGCTCTGCTCTTGGCAGCCAAGCCCTTGCAGCGTGCCTGGCTGCAGGCAGGGCTACCCAGTTCGGAGCTGGCTGTGCCCGGGAACAGGAGCCAGGGCTTTCTGCTATCCATCCTGCATCCCCTGCGCTTTCTCTTGCTGCAGCTCAGGACAGCCAGCGCAGAGCTGGCAAGGCTGGGACGCATCTAGCTATTTACTAAACCTCCCCACTGCCTACATGGGGACCGAGCAGCCAAGTTGTGCTGCGGTGACTGGGATGTTTGTAGCACGCAAATAACCTTCGGGTTGGCTCTTGCCTTGTCCCACAGGGAAGCTTGCATCTCTCCCTGCTCCATGATGCTGGCACTGGTTTACATTGAGAGACTCCGGCACCGGAACCCCGAATACCTCCAGCAGATCTCATCTTCAGACCTCTTCCTGATCTCTATGGTGAGCGGTGTGGGCTGGGGGGGTCACTGGGTTGGAGGGAAGCCTGGAGGAGTGCGGGGGGGGGGACTGAGATACTGTCCTTTGTGCTGCTTTTAGATGGTTGCTAGTAAATACCTGTATGATGAGGGGGAGGAGGAGGAGGTGTTCAACGACGAGTGGGGAGCAGCAGGGAAGGTGGACGTCCAGACCATGAACACACTGGAGATGAACTTCCTGAGCGCCATTGTAAGTGGGGCTGTCACTGCGGCCAACTATTTCACAGACTGGGGGAAAGGAGGCATTAAGGGGAGTCTGGATTTCTGTTTTTCCCCAATGTACTCCCATGAAGAAATGGAGAAGGATGTGTCCGGGTGCTGGGTGGCCTGCCCTGACTGCGCTGACCTTTCACTGCTGTCCCCACAGGACTGGAGTCTCTACACAGACCCCCGGGAGCTGTTTGAAGTGCTGAGCTGGCTGGAAGGACGGTAGGTGTGTGGGGTGGGGGTGAGCCTTTCATCCACCGCGCAGCCCTGGCTCTGCCCCTGCTCAGAGCTAGTCCTGCTGTAGTGAAATAAGAGGTTGGGGTACCTGTGAGCCTTTGCCAGGCTCTGCAGCTCCCTTCCGTAGACCTTGAGCAGGGTTTTCTCCAAGCCTGCCTGGGCTGAAGCTTCTTTGATGGAAAAGGTCCATGCCACATCCACCATTCCCTTTTTTTTCCTGCAGCGTGGCAGAAAAGCAGGGCATGTGGCGTGGCTGGTTCACCTACACGGATCTGTGTGTCCTCATGGAGCAGTCCATGTGGCAGCACGTGCTGGGCCAGTTCTACCAGCAAGTGGTGAAGGTAAGGGCATGGGGCAGCAGCTACTTGCAAGAACGTGGGGCCCAGCAGGCCATGGGTTTGGAGCAGGACCCTCTCTTCCACTGGGAGCAGCAGCCTGGTTTGTTCCCTGTTGAAAAGGGAAGCTGTCAGAAGCTGGATGCTGATTTGCAGCGGTGCTGCCTGAGGCACTGCAGCCTGGTGCTGGGTTAGTGTGCGGCCTGTGCTGGACCGTAGCCCCACAAGTCATGGTGCAAGGTCACGGCGGTGGCATGGAGGGAACTGGGTGCTGGCTGGGGCTTTAAACAGGGATCGTTAGGTTTTAGAGGGGCATTTTGGTTTGTGGTATTTAGGCCCTGCTTTGAACAGGCTGCGTGCCACCCGCTGTTAGCAGCGTGGCTGCCTGCTCGCTGGCATCTGGCCCTGGTGCTGGTTGTGCCGTTTGCCATCACGGCTGCTGGGTTCATGCATGGCCATGCTGGGTCACAGCTGGCTGTGGAGGGCTGCTGGGAGGGTCTGGGCTAACCGTCGGCTTCTCTGCAGCTGGCCTGCCTCCTGGGCGTGGTGTACCTGACCGGCTTTGCCGCCATCTTCGCCTCTGCCACTGTGGTGCACTGGTCCATGTGCACGAGGAGCGTCAGCCCTGCAGCCCCCCGGCCTGCGCTGTTCCCTGAGGAGGGCAGCTGCCAGCTGGATGCCCACCCAGCCCCAGCCCCTGACCAGCCCCAGCCCGAGCTGCCTGACGTCTCTCCAGCCAGCAGCACCCATTGCCTAGGGGAGAACGAGACAACCGAGGAGTCGCATCACGGGGGTGTCACGGCGACTGCGCTCTACCTGTGGGGCAGCATGATGACAGCTCTGTCTTACCCGAAGGTGCCTGATCTAGGCCAACACAGGAGCCCCCCGCAAGGCCCCTTCCGGAGAGTACCCACTGCCTGTGAGAGATCTAACCGTACTGCCCCTGCCGCAGCCCCCGGCCAGCCTGGCCCCTTCGGACTCGCCGTGTTCCCGGTTCCTCCAGCGCTCCACTGTCATGCCTGCTCAGCTGGTGCAGGCCCCACATGGGATGCAGCCCCCAACCGCAAGGACTGGCTGGACCCCCTGGGGCTGAGGCAGTGCTCCTTGCACACTGCCATGGATCTCAGCAGAATCAAGAGCTTCATTTTTCCCAGCTAGGAGTGCAGAGCAGCAGCCCCTTTCCCCTTCCCTTCTAGTGTGGCACAACTCACTTCCTTGCACTTCTAGGACCCCTGATCCCTGGGGCTGCGTGGGGCTGGAGGCCCCTGCGTTACTTCCAAACCAGCATTTGTGTCCCCCCACCCAGGGCAGGGGTGACCTTCACTTTGGGGGCTGCTGGGGCAGGTTGGGGCAGAGTTGACTTGCTGTTGGGGTGCTGGGTGGGAACCTACTAGCTGGAGGGTAGAAATGGTGTGCCCTTGGGCTGGGGTGCTAGGGCAAGGGGGCTGTTGTACCTCTTCCTACAGCGAGTGGATGGCACTTGGTGGTGCTGGGCAGAGGTGGTGTGTGGGATGTAGGATGCTGGGGCTGTGTGTGCAGGGTGTAGGGGCTGGGGCAGTGACCCCAGTGGGGGGGCGGGGTGCTCTGGGAGGAGGTGAGGTGCCTGGATGAGGGGAGAGGAGGTAGAAGGAGGGGAGAGCGAGTGGCCCGAGCTGGTTGGTCATAGCAGCAATTCCCTTTGGGGCCTGCCAGGCCACCTCTCGGGAGGCACAAGGGTCACACCAAGAGTGGACCCCAACGTGGCTGTGCCCCAGGGAAAGGTTGTGCCCTGCTGGGCTTGGAGGTGGTGAGGTGTGGTTAAGGCTGAGCTTCCTTATCCTGCTTGTGTTGGGTGCTTTGAAACTGGGGTGCTCTGTGACCCCATCCCAAACCCCAGCTGTCTGTGGCTGTGAGCAAACGGTGCCTGACCGCTCCTCAGGGCGGGGAGAAGGCACCTTGTCTTGCTGACCAGCCCAGCTCATCATGCCCCTTCTTTTTACTGTGGATTTTACACCTGTTTTTCACTCTTTTGTAGAAGCAAATCTCTTCCAATAAAAGTAGTTCTTGCTGTGCACCTGCCTTGTCCTGCTGAGCCGCTCCGTGCTGGCAGCACGGGTCCCCTACTGCGGAGCCCCACTGATGAAGCTGTGCTTGCTCTCTGAGCCAGGGTGCAAGCCAGATCCTAGGTGCGGGCAAGTGAGCCCAGCAGCAGTGAGGTCTGTTCTGCAGGGCTCAAGAGGGACCAGGCTTTCTGGTGACAGGGGACAGGAGAGATGTCGGGTCTGGTGCCTGCAGAAGGCAGGGGCAGCAGGAGAGGGCGAGGTTCCCCATCCTTGGGAATGCAGGGAATGCATGGACTCCACTGCTCTTTGCTCTCCAAAGTCTGCTCAGTTAATGAGTGAACCCCGAGCGGCAAGGGCTTGACAGGGTTGCCGTTGTGGTCGCTGGCACAGCCACCTCTGCCCTGTGACAAAAACACGAGCATCCCCTGCCTGTGCTCCCTTGGGAGCCTTCCCAGCCAAGCGGGCAGCTCTTGTCTCTGGCATCCTTCTGCAGCGGCAGGATTCAGTGCCCTCCTCCTAGGAGCATGGGGGATGTGGTAGACCCCCATCAGAGACCCTCCTGGCGTGGGCACAGTGCCCACAGAGGGGAATGGCAGGACCTGGGGGGGGGGGGGGGGGCTGTGCAGCTTTTAATGGGCTCCTCGGGGCCCGATGGTGAGGAAGGGCTGGACCCAGAGGGCAGGGGGATGCTGTGCTGGGGAGGAACAAGCACAGGCAGGGCACACTGGAGCTGGAGGATGCTGTTGGTGGGGATGCTCCAAGCACATGAAGGAGGAGCTGTCTGTGCCGTGGCCCCCCTGGTCCCTGCCTCGTGTACCACAAGGAGGCGGGGAGGGACCTGGGCTGTGGGCAGTTGGCACTGTAACAGTGTCTGGTGTCGTGGGCGTGGGTGGCTGTCACCTGGCCCTTG